TGGATATTGTGACAGCACAGACAACAAGTCACTGCTTTCATTATTGAAAAGCTGTTTTTTGAGTAGCTTGGATAACAAATATTTCAACCAATCATATAGTGTAGTAGGTCTAAATGGCAGGTAGCACTACTTTTAAAGGACCATTTTGATTTTTTATGGAGTGTCACACATATTTTCACCCATAACTAAATAATCCTAGTACTGTATCTGAATAGGATGCACTAAGAATTTGGCTGGTGATTTGACACTGAAGCAGTGTAACCATAGGGCTCTTCAGACTGTGTTCCAGTCAACTATGTCCATGCAAATATTTGGGACTGAGTTGCCAGATTATATGTACAATCCTTTACATATAAGTTGATGATTCCACAGCAACATTTAGATTTCACAGTCTAACTTGCATTTTGCCATCATTTGGATCTGGCCAGTGACCCATGTAGTCCAACATCCTCGTCTTACAATACCTATTGTATGCCCATAGGAATCCTGGAAGCAGGGCCTGAGCACAACAGCACTATTGGGCCTTTGCCTAATTAAACCTTCTGTGGCCTTTTAAACGGTTTCTGTGGGGTTATTGTTTGGGAGAGCAACTATACCATGCTCCCTGGCATGAATTGATGGCAGTGGAGCATGAGGTTTGCAGTTTGCCTTCCAATTCAGTTCAGGGGGCAGAGAATAATCACAGACTTTTGCTCTTCAGCTGAAAATGATTTCACTCAGCATGGTGAGGAGCACCATTTATAGCAAAATATGGGCCCTGCCAGGCCTCTCCTGGTTTGTTTCTGTTATTCTGCTTGAAAAGAGGAAAGTTTGCTTCCCCGTCTAGGTTTTTCTGCTGTTCCTGTTGAATACTTAAAACGTCCTTGAAGTTTTTTTCAACTATTCAAAAGGACACCAGATAAACCCAGTGGTTTTCAACATTAGCCTTGCATGATGGTGACTGTGTTTTGTACATAATTACAGTATATAAAAAAATAAGAATCTACCAAATATAATCGATTAAATGCATACAATATAATAATATTTATATTCCCCCATTTGCTACAATTAGGAAATGGTCAAGCAGTGTTTCTCTGAAATAAGAGCCTTGTTGTCTGTTGACCCGCATGAGCCACCACCACTCACAGAGGTATGTTGTTCAGATTTTTAAAAAACATTTTTTTCCCAAATGCAAACCTCTTCCACATACTTTTTTCCACTGGTATCAGTTTTTATGACTACATATGGTCACATTCAAATTCAGTTTGCTTCTGCCTTTGTTCGGTGCAGCCAGATCACCATTTGCTCCCATTCTTTGCTCTCTCTCCTCAGGTCTTTTTATATAGTTACATTGTCTTGTCCCTTCTTACCTTGTCCCCCCCCCCCCCTTGTTACTTGCTCCCTCTGCTCTGCTGGTCCATGAGCCCTTTCTCATTTCTTTCTCACTTCATCTTTTCCTGCTAAAATTCAGAGCCTTCCCTAGATGGGAAGTAGATAGCCGGGAAAGACTAGGTGGCAATTTTTATTACTTTTGTTTTCTGCACTGGGGTGGGAGATTGCAGGGAAGCCCCTTTCTCTACTGCTAAGGCACATGCTGCCTCAGATTGCTTCACTTTTTCTTCCTCTTGAACAGCTACCACCCTTGGCCATTTTTTATCCCTCTGGCTCACCTGAGAGTCAGTGTATTGCATCACACTTTGCATGCACATGGCACAATGCTCTCAATGGTGGATTTCATGCCTCCTTCAGCCTCCTTTGTGCCTTTTCACCCCACTGGCCACAAAGCCTCATCTAAATGGCACCTTTTGGACTCCACAATGGAGGAGAGCCTCCAGTAAAAACCGCAAGTCCCCGCATGACTTATCCAAGGAGACTAGAAGAGTTCGATATATGAGAGAAACTACAGCCTCAGACCCCAATCAGGATAGGGGGCCCATTGGACATGTATGTTCGGAGTATAGAGCAGGCACAAGTCCTTAGTCCCTCAGTGTTTTTTTCTCTTGAAAAATGGTTGCTGGTACTCACCATGAAATTGTTACAGTAAGTGCCACACTTTTTAACACACAAAAAAAGAGGTGCTGGTACTATGTACCCTTGAGTACCCCCTGGAAAAATGCACTGGTCTCCTCTCATTCCTCAGTATGAATTAAATTCAATGTGACTTGCTCTAACTGAAGTTTATATAGGATTTCAGCTTAATTCTATTAAGATTTTTTGGTTTATTCCATATTTGTGCTTTCTCTTTTGCAGATCCCATTTGACATCACTTTACCATCAATAAAGAATTTAAGGAAATTATTTGAGCCAGCTAATGGGTGTGTGATAATTGCTGGAAATGTTTTCAACTGGATAGTGTCTTTGCTTGCTTGAGTAAACATTGGGGAGTAACTTTGTTATTCATTCAACCTACGCAGAGTTGACAGTTTATAGAGTAATATGCTGTCATACTGAAGCCAGTTGTAAATTCCCTATTCCATGAGACAAAGAATTGGTCTCTATTCTCCTCTGGAATTGATAAAATATTTGAGGCAGTTGTAATAAACATACATTTGGTGTTGTTCTTTTTGACTTCTAAGTAGTAGTTTTCTATGTTCAGAATTAATTTACTATGTAAACTTTTTGTTTTAAATATTTTAAACTTTACACTCCACAAACTGATTTCTGTTTCATTTTTGTTGTTCTTCTAATAGAAAATTAAGGGTTTTTTTGCTTCTGTATTTTTCCAGGCTTTATATCCTCTCCATAGTTGGAGCAGTTAGTATCCCTTCTCTTAAAGCTACCTAGTAAGTTAAATGTAGGTTTTTACATTTGTCTTAACTGCTTAGAAGTAATATTATTGAACCAGAAATGATTTTCTTACATGTGCTTCTGGGATTTGAAGACATTTTTTCAGTGAATGTCTGCCTTTCCGTAGAGGTTGTTGCTTTTCAAATTTTGCAGGTTTCCATGATGGACAGCAGTTGGTTGTTATTCATTAATGTTCGGGCGCTACTTATATAATGCAAGCTTTACTCTGGCTATTGGGGTTTGGTCCAGGTGTGTATCTATCAACTCCCCTCCCCCTTGTAATTCAGTAGTACATCCAACTATCAATTAAAATCTAAACTAACCAGCATGCTAGTCCTAAATGCTTTACTTGTTTTCAAATACCAGTGGTTCCATTGTAGGTATTGCTAATGTTTAAAAATACTGAATACAAAGATATTAAAAATTATTTTAAAATCATGCTTGTATTTTAGCTTGTCACTTTTGATAGTATTTATTTTGTAAGTTATAAATGGTCTCCACAGTCCTTTCTCTTGTGTGCTGTAGACGGATATTACAGATCTTGGCATGCAGGCTTGCTGGAGTAGGCAACTTTTCCCCAAAGCACTAAATTCCCTCATGTGAAAGTGATCAGGAGATGCATGCTTGAAGTGGGCAAGGCAAAAACACACTCCCTCCCATTCAAATACACTCACAGCTCTCTCTCTAAACACACACACACACTTTCCCCCTTTCTCACCTTGTCTTCCTGTGCGTAGGGAAGTAACAAAGTTAACTGGTGACGTAGGAAGAAATCTGTTCCGTCATGGCCAATTCGCTGCAGAATGAGACATGTGAGGGGGTGTGACCTAGTGGGGAGCATGGCTTAAGGAGAGTGCCCGGAGCTGGGTTAAGAAGTTTAGTAGGCCAGATAAAGTCAATGGACTGGAGTTTTCCATCCTTACTGCAGCAGTGGCTGCACAGGGAAGAAAATGACATATCCAGCCTATATACACTCAGCACAGCTGTTGGGGAGGGTGGTAAGAATGTATAAGGACTCCCTCAATCCTAAATCTCCTTTTCTCATAATACATACTAGAACCTTCATCCAGTGAAGCTGAATATTGGAAGATTCAGAGTAGATGAATAGATAGTGAACTATCAACCCAAATACCTAAGAACAAGTAGCAGGGGGCTTAATTCTCTCTCTCTTTAGTTAAAAGATGAATGAAATTCCCTCATCCTTTTTCTGGTGCTCTCCAAGAATACCTCCAGCAAAAGGGAAGAAAAGCATTGCATATTTGGTTCAAAGATAAAAAGCACAGCAGAATAAAGACCCACTCCCCTTTTTGAGAAGGATTTTCCAAGAGATGTTTATGTATCATAAGCAAAAAGGCACAAGCTCATTTTTAAAGCACTTTGAAGTTCTGCTTGAGGCATAGTAGGCATCTTAATTAAAATGAGTAACACAGTTTGAAAACCAGATTAAAGGATATATTAGTAATTAAATTAAAATCTGTTTTAGAATCACTGTCTTTGCACAACAATCCACATGGTACCTGTCATGGCAATTAAAATAAACATTTAATACGACACTTGCCACATTTTTAAATAGCTTATGCTTTTAAGATATTTCTAATAAAGTAAGAATTTTCAACACCTCTTAACACAGCTGAAAAATAGTAAGGATGAGATTTTGATACTGCTGTAACCATAGCAACTGAAGCAAACATCATAGCAAACATCTGAGATTAAGAATTTGTTTCAAGTTCTAGAAGGATACACTGAAAAAATTACTACTCTAAGGAAGTTGGAGAAAAGCAAGTTCTTATGCAACAATTCAATAAAATAAATTGTATTTCTGAAACTAAATATATTTTCAAAATATATTTTCATGTTCTACTAATTATAATTCATGATTTGTTAAATTTCATGTCTGATGAATTTTTCAAATTGATAAATATCTTATAAATTAGGGCTGCAGAAAATAATTGACAAGCTCAGTTGGAAATCACAAAGTGAGTCAATTCATGTCTAGATGTAGATGCACAAATGACCTGTCAGAGAAGTGGCCAACAGGCCTCCAGTATACCTTTCCCCCAATTCCTCTGCCACCAAGATTTTTTTTCTTTTTAGTTTATGAGGAATTCCATCATCATAGCTAAATTCATATGCCGCCCACCCAGCTCACAGCACACTTGCATACTTTGGCCTAGGCGAAGGGAGAAATACAAGCTGCAGAGGAATTCCTAAGCCAGCCTATGCAAAATGACATGGCCAAGCTGGGGCCCAATGGGTCAGTGCATCTGGCTGTTAACCAGAAGGTTGGTGTTTTGAGCCCACCCAGGGATAGCTGTGGGCAGGATTGCTGCATTCCACTAGATTGGACCCAGTAACCCTCGGGGTCCCTTCCAACTCTACAATTCTATGATTAAGAAACAATACAGGGCCACTGAAGACCATTGGCAATGCAACAGAACTGTCCTTCCCCACCCCAACCCCAACCTGTGAACAGAGATTGGGGATTTGGAAGGTTGCCAGGATAATTGGGTGTGAGGTGACAGGAAAATAGTGTCTTTAGCAAGGTGTGCTGGGAAGAAGCAGGGAGAATAAAGAGAGAGATCCCTCTTGGGCAGGTTGGCCAAAGATAGGCTGGGAGAGATGCCTTCAACTTCAGTGCTGTAGGCTTGACCACGTGGGAACGAAGCTATCAAAGGCTGCAACCATATACTAACTTACCTAAGGGTAAGATCTGTTGAACTCCGTGTGACTTACAAGGATGGCGCAGTAAAATTCCTAGCTCCAGATGGCTTAGGACAAGGATCAGCACAACATCCATTCACACATTACAAAACATAAGGTTAATCTGTTTTCAGCAGATGTAGGTTTGGATTCTGCAGCAAATTCTTACACCTAAATAGAAGTTATTGTAAAGGAGGATTGAGAAAAAACCCCTGCTCTCGATCCCACCTAGTCCAGCATTCTGTTCTCAGTGACCACCCAGATGCCTGTGGGAAGTTCAGAAGCAGGACCTGAATGCAACAACAGCCCTCTATAGTTACCTGCAATTCCTAGCAACTGGTATTCAGAAGGGTACTGGCTCATAGCTACGAATAGCTCAATCCTTCATGAATTTGTCTTATCTTTTAATGTGCTCCAACTTGGCGTCCATCACTATGCTCAATCATTTTTGCTGCACATATATAAATCACATTTGATTCCCCCCCCCTTTCAGGCACCATTATTTTTGAGAAAAATTAATATGCTGCACCATGCCATATGGGAATAAATAATCCAGCCTTGTTTTTTTTTTTAAAGCCTTGTCAAAATAAAGTAAAAAAACACAATTCATAGCCAAGTACAAACACCTTTGACTGTTCCATAAGCTTTCAAGAAAGTTCTTGACGGAGTTTGAGAACATTCCCGGGCCCTGACAACAAAGCACCGGACGCGCAATGCAAATTCAGTTAACTCTCATCATCATGATGGATCTTTTCACCGACATGAAACGATGATAAAGTGTTAATATCGAATGGCATGAACTTTTGGCATTCTCCTGTTAGCGCGTCAGTAGAGCACATCTGAGCAGCCCAGCTGCTTTCCACGAAGTCTCCAGGGAGCAGCCCAGGCCGAGCCACCCTCCCGGTCACACCAACGCCGCTTTTCAAACCAGCGGGACGAAACGACGACAACAAACCCACTCCGCCGCGTGACCTCACCAACTTCGTTGGCCAACGGTTCGGTTTGAATGGAAGCCCCGCCCACTTCTTCTTCCTCTCTCCCCTTCAACCAGGGAACGCGAACGCGGCTCCTTCTCTCTTTTGTCCTCCCTCGGCTGCCGTAAACGAAATTCGCTGACCGGCGGAGGGAGGGGGGGGAGTGAGCCCAGTCTCGCGGTGGATGTTGGGACGGGCCGCTAAGTTGTAAGGAGCGCGGAAGCTCCGCTTCTAGCGGCCCCGTTTTGCCTCACGAAATAAAGAAACCGAAAGCGGCGGCTGCTGCTTCGAAAGTTTGGGGCTCTTCTGCCCAGCGACCGGGGAAATGAGTCGCATGGGGTAGAAAGAAGACTTAACGCGGGGCGTCCCGGCCAAGCGGGGAGGTGAGGAAGGGGAGGCGGGGGGGGGATGTCTGTTATTGTGGGGGTTTGGGGGGAGGGGGCGGTCCCTGGCGGGTTACATGACAGCTGGCGGAGTTCTCCCTCTGGTCCTCTACGTCGAGTTGACACCTGTTGGGACACAGAGGCCCCTGATTGGCTGGGGTTGGGCGCTTGTTTTGCCTTGAGGGGTGTAGGGACCCTTTGTCCTTTGAACTGGTTGCCCCACCTGGAACAGCTTTATCTGCCCCCAGTGAGAGGTGGGAGCCACTGGGTGGGGGTGTCTGGCCCTCCTCCTCCTCCTCCTCCTCCGCCGCTTCTCCTTTGCCCCAGGTTGCTGCCCTTGGAACTACAGTGGTACCTCGGGTTACTTACGCTTCAGGTTACATACGCTTCAGGTTGCAGACTCCGCTAACCCAGAAATAGTACGTCGGGTTAAGAACTACTTCAGGATGAGAACAGAAATCGTGCTCGGGCTGCGCAGCGGCAGCAGGAGGCCCCATTAGCTAAAGTGGTACCTCAGGTTAAGAACAGTTTCAGGTTAAGTATGGACCTCCGGAACGAATTAAGTACTTAACCTGAGGTACCAGTGTAACCAGAAGCGGCTCTTGAACTGCCACAGTGTCTCTTACAAAGCCGGTGTATACTGCCCTATATGTACCCGTAGGTCTCAGGGCGGTTCACTGGATGAAATCAGAATATAAAACCACAAAGTACATAATCAAAATAGTTTAAACAACAACCCCATAACCACCCCAACATATTTTAAAAGGGCATAGGATATCAATCAAATTGTTTCTTAGCATAAGAAAAAGTCCTGGTTGATCAGGGCCAAGGCCTGTCTACTTCAGCATCTTGCTGCCACAGTGGCGGTCCAGATGCTTATGGGAAGCTTGAAAGCAGGGCCTGAGTGCAACTGCAATCTCCCCTCCTGCTTATGGCAAATGAATAAACCAGGTTACTGCCACTGACTGCCTGACCCTGAGTGAGCAACTAGCTAGGCAGGCAGGTTAGAAGCATGTTCATTGCAGCTTGTCCCCCATCAGCAGCATAAGTGTTGCTCCATCCAATTTTTTTGTCACACAAAAATCACATTTGTGAATGGAGTGGCATTTGTAGTCTCATATTGAATGTGAACACCCACACACCAATTTCACTTTATCTGTTAACTGGTGGTAAGTAGCAATTCTATGGCAACTTCATAAATGCTCCTACCCCTATGTATAAACTCTAGGCTGTTGGTCTTCAACTGGTGCCCAGTATCACCTTATGTAAGGTGGATGTCAGCAGCAGTTTAATGCTTTTCAACTGAAGTTCTTATTCTTACCATATACTGGTTTTAGTAAATGTTGGGTTGTTTTTACTATGTATTGATGCAATTAAAAAAGTTATTTGTAAGCTCCTTTGGATCTGTTTAATCAATACAAGCGGGTAGAAATTCTATAATAAGGTGCTTGGGGAGCAGATAATTTGTGGATTTTCTTTCTGAACTTGTCTGCTGCCTTACAATTTAGTGGGACAGGCATCAGAATTCAAATGTGATTTGCCAACATATTTTTTTTTCCAGGCTTGTCCTGAATAATTATTGTTGGAAATTGGCAATTCTTTGTTTTTACTGAAACACAGACTTAACAGTCTGGAAATTAGATTGATACAGGAAAGATCCACATAAGATACCCTTCAGTATATATCCTGCAGTAGCTGTGCTACATTGGGCTGTGGCTTGTGACTGGTCTGTTTCTATAGTGGTACCCCAGCTATGGAACTCGTCTATCATAAATGTAGCAGGGCACCTACATTTTTGAATGGAGTTCACTGCCAGATGAAGACATACCTCTTCATCAAGGCTTTTGGGTGCACTTGTTTTTGGTAACTGCCGCTGCTGCCCATTCTGGTATGGATTTTAGTTCTTCTTAATTTCTAATGTTGTGTTTTGTAGTTTTTTTAATGTAAACCATCCAAGGTCATTGGTGGTAAAGAGGAGTATAGAAACTAAATAAATAAGGCAGCCAGCCAACGAACCAGCATTGACCTTGGCTGTAGCTTTAAGGATGGTAATATTTAAGAGCTTGCTCTTCTCTTCTCTCCTCTCTCCCATTCCTTTTTCCTCACATGTTGTGTCTTTTTAGATTGTATGACTGAGGGCAGGGCCTGCCTTAGAACTGATTTTGTAAGCTGCTCTGAGAGTCTGTTTGCCTGAAAGGTGGGTATAAATGCTGTAAATAATAATAAATACTTGAGTAAATAAATCCTGGAATGTTCATAATTCAGAATGAATTCAGAATGCATCTCAACATATGATTTTAATTGCTTTTGACGTTATATTTTGTTTCACATGGAACTTCAAAACAGGTATTTATTTTCATAATTGATCTGATCATTTTCAAACAATTAGCTGTGAACATAAGGCAGCACCAACAAGAAATGTCTGGGCTTCAAATGTTTTCCATAACTTATTGTATTAACCTGCCTAGCTTTACACTTCTGCCAATTATAACAAAGAATATTTTGTCATTTAGAATAATTTTTAATAGGTATGACCAATCTCACCTGCATTTTCTTCTTTTTGCTTACAGGTGCAGCCATGCAGGAAAGCATCCGATTTGCTTCATCGGGAGATGATGATGTTAAAATATGGGACGCTTCATCCATAACTGTAGTGGAACAGTTCAGTCCCCATACTTCATCACACCCAGTTAGCTCTGTATGCTGGGGCAGCAACAGTATCCTTTGCCACTTCATGAGGCACAACATCTAGAGCTATAGCACTCATTGTTTAGTGGCAATTTTTAGTTTTGTCTCTGGGGCCAGTGAGCTGTGCTTTAATACAAACAAACAAGCCACAGATACTTTTGCAGTGCTAATGAGGTTTAATTGATATAATTAATGACCTATAGTAGCAGCATCTACATGGATTTTGGGCATCCATATTCATAAACTATCATCCGTTAAATAGCATCTGTGCTGTAACAACTGAAAGAATATGAATAAGTCAGCTCTGTTCTTTAAAATTCCAAATACCCCTGGCCTCCGGAGAGAGTGAACAAGCATATGTGAGAACAAATGTGCTCAAGACCAAAAGCTGAATTTATCAGAGTATGGAAATGGAATGCATTTCAAAGGTGTATGTTCCATTTAAATATACTTGGTTTACTTCTTACAGACTGCCTTGGCAATTTGGTTCAATAACAGCTTAGTTTAAACCAGGGGTCAGCAAGGTTTATCTTGCCTGGGCCAGATTGGTCCCGTGGAGATCCCTCTGTGGGCCGGATCGCACGCGTGCCCGCGTTTTTCTGTGTCTGCACAGATGTGATGTGCACAGATGTGATTTTTGGCGCCGCGGAAGCGAGTCCCTGTGGTGCGCGGCGCCAGTTTAGTGCAGCGTGAGAGTGGGTGGGGGTGGCTCGGGGGCCAGTAAAACGACCTCCGCAGGCCGCTTCCGGCCCATGGGCCTTAGGTTGCTGACCCCTGGTTTAAACTATCTTCCTCCTTGTGGTTTCACTTGGATACAGGTGGCTATAAATACCTCCCCTTGTGTTCCTCTTCATGCCTCTCCTCCAGGACACAGAGGAGGAACGGTTATATATGTGTACATATTCTCGTTCTCAACCTCTAGAAGCAGCTGTCATTAGTGCTGCATTGTTTCTCTACTGTTCAAGGGAAAGACTGTGGTAGAACATGTGCTTTCTGTACAGAAGGTCCCAGGTTGAATCCCTGACTTCTCTAATAAGGAGGAGTATGCAGTGTCCTTACACAGTCTTTGTTCTTGAGGCAGTATGCATATTTGTTTCTTCTTTCCAGGAGGGATATAAGATGAGGAAATAAACAGTGCCAGGGCTTTTTCTCCAGATGTGCTAGATATGGCCATGCTCTGTAATATGAGGGCCCTACCGCAACCCCAGAGTCGTCTGCGACTGCACTTAACTGTCAGGGGTCCTTTACCTTTTTATGTGCAAGTGAAGCTGCATATGTCCAGAGGCTCCCCCCTTATTTTAGTTGGACGATGTTCCATTTTTGAAAATGTGGTTTCTTATTGTGGTTTTATAGCATTCCAAGTATAGATGAGCACGTGTGGTGCTTCATTTATGGGCCAGAAGCTCTGGCATGTCATTGTGCCCATAGTGCTGTCCCACTGTTGCATGATCACAATGTGTATATGAGCCACCAGTATACAAGTATACAGTATGCAAGCCACCAGTCCAAGCCACAGAATTTCCACATTGCCTCAGTGCTTGAAACACTTCGGTGCTTGGATTACCTTTATTTGTTTTTTGTATTTTTATCCACTCCCCGCCCCTCCCCAGGAACTCAAGGTGGTGTACGTTGTTCTCCACTTCCTTGTTTAATCCCCACAACAACCCTGTGAGGTGGGTTAGGATGAGAGGCAGTGACTGGCCCAAGGCCACCCAGTGAGCTTCATGGCTGAGTGGGGATTTGAACCTGAGTCTCCAGGTCATAGTCCAGCGCTCTATAACCACTGCACCACACTGGCTGTCATGTCTTAACCCTAAGGAATTTTTATTTTCTTTTTCCAAGAACAGAGTGAGGAATCATTTCCCTCCTGGGCAGAGCCCCAGAGGAACTGGGACTGAAGTCTATGCATTAGCCAGTTTACTTAATGCAGTATCATTTCATTGATTAGGCATTCGGCAGGAGACGGCAAAAAAGTACTGTTTTCTGGGTGGCTTATTGGATTGGTTATTTATGGTTCTGTTTGCTTTTTAGAAAATATATGCGATGCCTACAGTGCCATTTATATTTTATTTGACCTCTTTTATCCTCCAAACTGTTAGATTTCTTTAGATTGTGAGCCCTTTGGGAACAGAGCTGTTAACATTTAGAAAATGCTGTAAGCCGTTCTGAACCCATTTACCAGATGAGGATATACATCTAATAGAAACAAAAGCTTAGTTCAGCTAAAAGTTACCCCAAATGATAAGAAATCAAGTGATTTCACTTGCATGTGTGAACCAGCTCTTATTAATGGCGGTGTTCAGCTTTCATACAAAATGCCTGATTCCAGTAGTTCATTGTAGCTAAATGTCCTCTGCTTCCTAGGTAGGGATAGTGAGTTTTCATACCAGTTACTCCATTCTTTTCTGTATCATAGACATCTTTCTGACCATGCACATTTGATTGGGTGCATCTTAGAAGATGTTTGATGGAGCCTTACCTGCTGTGTTTATCATTAGAATGATGTCAGGGGATAGTGCAGATGGGGCTATATACAGGCAAGCACAAGAATGGTTTGCTTGGATAATGCTTGGCTTTCTTATTCATTCACAACATGTTTCTGTTTGTAAGAAGGTAGGTTTTGGATGTTACAGTAAATTTAGCAGTGTAATTTCTACTGAAAAAGAATTAGTAAAAAATACCCTCTTGATTGTAATTTGGTGTAACTTATGTCAATACTTACTTTAAAACTGTTGTAACTTGACCTGGGACCATATAGTGAAAGGCATATAAGAAAACCAATATTGATAACTGAAGTGTTAATTTTTCTAGGTCTTGAATTTTCCTTGAGTTGACAACTGTCATACAAAGGAAAATCTCCCAGAATAAATAGTATCATTGAGAAGGGACACTAGTACATACCATTTTTGATAAGTCTGTGTTCTGTGTCAGGGAGTCTTGTGCTTTTCCAGAGCTGTCACCCAATAACTTAGATCTTCTTGCTTCTCCCCCCGCCCTGCAGTGTGTAGGTGCCATTCAGCACAGCAGAAGCTGCTTTGAATTCATCTGTTCCTCTAATTGCTGAAGGCTTTAGTTACTCGGGATGTCTGAGCCATTAAGTAGATCTTGTTGGCTGTTCAGGATCAACGGTACAGCAGCTTGTCATCCTGTGTTGAGTTAGACAAGCTTCAGCGCATGGAAAGCAATGTACTAATGTACAATGGCTCTAAGTAAGGAAATCTCTTTAGGCGCTTTCTGTTTTGCTTAAAAGTGACAGCTAAATGTTAGAGATGAAAGTTACCTTGTACACACCTGAAGTAGCGGGCTGCAGAAGTTCCTAGGCATATAGAAGGTTTTTGTTCTTTTCTAAAGGCCGTACCTTTCATTGAGAAGCCACCTTGACACATTGTTTGCGACAATTGTTTAAAATAAAGGATTGGTAATACCTGAAAATCTTAAGCAGTTTAACTGTTTATAATGTAATTTGTGTTGCTGCAGCATGGGGCAGGTGTAAGTAAAGGAACCCATATCACTTGTTTGTGGGCAAGGGAGTATTCTAAAGCACACCTGTATAGCTCAAGCAGATGATGGCTTGTAATAAACAGAGAAGCAAAAAAACAACAACAACACCAACAGCCCTGTACAGATTTCAGCTGGCAAGTTTTATATGGAGGAATTCCATCCTCAATTCAACAGTGGCAGTCAGTGTGATACTGAAACTTAGGGGTATTTATCTGCTTTGGTTTTATTGCACTTGTATAGTGTTTGTTTGAAGTGGGTGGATGTAAGTGAAGGGGGAGGTGTTAGAAATAAACATTCTCTACATCAACAGACTGCTGTTCAGGTTCTGGCTTAATGTCTTGATGTAATTTTGTGGAACGTGTACTCAGTTGAGTGTTAATATCTTGGGCTGAAGATCTGGAGATATCAGATGCCCAATCTGTGGTTGGCAATTCCACTGCTTAGCATTAACACAGCTAACTTTAGAATTCATTGGATTACTACTTTTTGCAAACACATTTTTTTATCACAAAAATACTAGCAGCAAATACTGCTTTGAAATGGGGATAGAATTTGTGGGCAAGTAGAACAAACTGGACATGGAATAAGTTGCACTTCTCAGTTGGAGGAGTATTTTTTAAATCATAAACTTGTGTTAAATGGATGCAATGTGGAGTTCATCTCTTGAAAGGACAAATCCTCTCAAAACTGGAATGTTTTCCCATTTCTGCTTTCTTTTCTTCATTAAACAAAACTGCATAGTATATAACAACACTTGAATCAACATTTTTCTGTTTTGAATTTTATGCTAGCATATGTTGCTTAAGGGGCTTGGATTAATACTTTTCCCTTTTCAGCTACTATATAAATTTTGTGCTATGTTCCATGACACCTGTTTCAGATAATTTTCTGGTCACTGCTTCTGCTGCTGGTGATAAAATAGTGATTTCAAATGGTAAAGGTAAACCAGCTCCACTCTTTGAGCTAGCTGAAGGGGTAAGTAAAACAGACTTGTTTCTTCGGAGCCATAGAGTGTGACTTTTTGCATGTTTACTTTGAAGCAGGTCCCATTGTGTTCAGCAGAGAAGTGCACCTTTACCTTGAAGTAAACCCCATTGAACACAATGGGATTGACAGAATAGACACAGATAGGACTTACAGTTACTTCATCTATTCCCTCTTTCAAAATAACAGATTTTTTAAAAATGTAGTTATACATAAGTATATATCTGGAGCACAGGGTGATCCTAAAAAAAATACTTCAAAAGGTCCCATTGTCTTAATGGAGAATGCTTCCAGTTGAAAAACAAGCCATATTGCCTACTGCCTCTGTAGCTTTAATTGACACTCGTGCGAGCCAAGGAGTTGTACCAAACGTACATGACACAGTCCTCGGCCAGAGCATTTGTGCATGTAATTTGTATACAGTATTATAATGAGCTACTCAAATTAAAAATTAAAGTTGACATTCCTCTGTGTATGCTTCAATTTGGAATGCTAACCCCACAAGTACAGTGTTAAAACTAATGGGGTTAAAAGGATGCTCAACTCTGTTATTTTACTGAGTTCACTGTGCCTTGCATTTTGTTCCATCTGACTTCCTGATTTCCAAAGTCTAACTGACTTTGGTACATGTCATTTTACTCCCCTTGTAGGCTGCTGAGTGCATATGTTCATTGACCAAATTGCAGTACAATTTTATAAGTGCACATTTCTAACTTGCAAGCGGGTTACATGTTGTCTGAACAAAATCTGGAAATTAATAAAAAGGGAAAATGGTATTTCAGGTATTCACTGGGGCTGGGCTGGAAACTGGGAAGAAATCGGAAGTGAGAGAATTTTATTTGCTATTCTAAAAAGAATATAGCTTGCTAACAACATTGAGTGAGGACCACAAAGGCTGGCTTTGTTTGGATGCAACTCTAAAGCAGGGGTGACTAATCTGTGACTCTCCAGATGTTGTTGCACTCCCAATTCTCAGCATCCTCAGCCATCATTGCCAATGGTGAGAGATGATGGAAGTTGTAATCCAGAGGACTACAAGACAGCACTCCTCCTGTTCTAAACCATGCTTTAGCACAGGCATAGGCAAACTCAGCCCTCCAGATGTTTTGGGACTACAACTCCCATCATCCCTAGCTAACAGGACTAGTGGTCAGGGATGGTGGGAATTGTAGTCCCAAAACATCTGGAGGGCCAAGTTTGCCTGTGCCTACTTTTAGCATTACATGGAGGAGCTGCAGTGAACATTAGCTCTTGAGTTCCCCCTTGGCTCTCTTTTCCAGCATGACGAAGAGGAGGATTTTTGTGTTTCATATTAATTTCCTTTTAACTTGTCTGCTGAACCTAAACAAATTGTGGCTAATCTCACTTATGCTTAGTTGAAACAAACCAGCCTTGTAGCTTAGCCACAGTTTGTCTGGCTTTGGACATCATGGATAGTTGCAGTCAATCTAAAATGGAAGTGAAAGATACTAAATTCCACACAGCTGTACCAGAGAGGGATTACAAGAGGCTCATTGTACCTGTTTCTCATAAAGTTAAATCACTGTTTAGTGTTGTGTCTGAATAAGGTGATATGGTGTGCATAAAATGTATTTGTATTGATTGGCTTTTGTTAGCTGTATTGCAGCCACTTTAATGAAACCCAGACATGCATTAATGAACATGGCTGGGAGTCTTAAGAGAGATCTTTTGATACATTGCTGAACATAAATTTCTGTTCTCGGCCCATTATTAACAACAGAACATTCCTGCCCTCTGGTTTGTGGTGATATAGGGCCTTAGACTGATAAAATGCTCTCTCTAAGCTTTAAATAAGAAATCAACACTCTCACCATTGTTCTTCAGATCGTTATTTTAGTTGTGATCTTTTTTGTCACATGTACAATGATCTCAGTTTTATACAAAAGTTTTTAAAAGGTGCCTATATGCAAACATGGGCTTTCAATCCAAGGAGCTTTGTATCAATGTGAAAAACTTGGAAGACAGTTTGAAATGTGCAGAGGAAGGAGTGAGTGAGTGATGCCTCAACAGTGTTAAGTTTAGTATTGGCTAGTCGATATATACTACCTCAGGCAAGCAACCTGCCGATTCTTTGATTGGCCACCCCAAATTCCCCACGCCCTCCCACCCCAAAGTAGCATACACTCTTAAATAAGCAAGCAGACAAGTAACTGTATATTAATTCTCATGATGCTTAAGTCCCTGTTCCAACATCTTGCCAATACTTGCTCACCCTTGGGGATAAAGAAAATCATAAAAGGAATATTGTAGAATCTGTTTTTTATGTATGTTAGCTTTTGGAGCATGCTGTTTGCAAATTACATGCAAGCTAAACATGGTGAATTCCTCTTTTCCACTTTCCCCTAATTTCATTTTCTCTAACCGGTATTTGATGAAGAGCATTTGCCCTTTTACCTCTTGATTAATATTCACATGATCAACAGTCATGGGGAGAGTTGGGTCACCCCCAGCCACTTGCTCTGCCACATATTCAGGGTTCTGAATTGCACAGGGCACCTTTGCATGTATTGCAGGCTCACAGCTTCAGGCATTTCCCTCCAGCGTATGGAGGTCAGCAAGGCTGGGTGATGGGAAGGAGTCACAGTAGGGAAGTCTAGAAGGCATGGGGAAGTCTAGAAGGCATGGCCCTGCTGTACCCTTCAGTAGTATTAATCACATAAGGGGCAACAAGAAACAGGGCTATAGAGTGCTCTATATTTCATTGACTTGCACAACAAAACTTCATTGAGGCACTCAGTCCTGAACATAATATGAATCCCACAGAGGGAAGAGTGGGTCTGTGCTCACTGGCCTCGCTGCCTCTGCTTCATCCCCATCACAGAATGTCTGAATTGGAGACCCTGCCCGACAATTCATAGCCTCCTCACATGCTTTAGAACCCTGCCAAATTAAACAGCCGGATAAGAATATTGGTTTTTATGGACCTTGATTGCCAACTCAGGTTGAATACAGAGTGCCCATTTCTTGAATGGGAGGCAGAGGCTTCTGCTGGAGGAAATGGGAAGTGGTTTTTCTAGATTCCCATTGTCACGCCCACTTCCACATTCTTCCAGAGGGTCTCCCAACATTCTGGACTGATTTTTTGGAGACTGCAGGGGAAAAGACGAATTGGTGAAATTCGCTTCCTCAATACTGTACCTTTCTCTGGGTTTGGTTAGGGATTCCATGAGTAGAACTATACACATTTAACAACAACAACAACAACAACAACAACAACATATTCTACTTTACTGCAAGGGCCCCCAAATGATACTATGTTGATTTCCCCCTTTTTATTCCCCCCCTAACCAGGCAAAACAAACCTGTATAAGTTTGAGTTCTAATTCAATGTATATTGCAAGTGGAGGTGCGGATAGCACTGTTAACATATGGGATTTAAAGTTCAGAAAACTTCACCGAGCTCTTAAGGTAAGACAAAAACACTTCCTGTTTTATCTATTTGTCTATTAAATATGACTCTGAAAAAATACCCCCTCTCAAAACAAACCCTCTAGTAGCTTTGGGGTCTGATCTTTAAAGCCCAAATTTCAACTCAAAATTTTTAATCCCTATCACCATAGGTGTCTGTGCTAGCAGCAGGCTTTGTGGACTGTGTTGCTATATAAGGAATATTTTCAAGCTGTCATTTTATTACATTGTATCTCTGAGTGATTATTTGAGTCTTCAGAAACCATGTTATGTGAAGTTGGCAATGAGTGTTGGCTGAGCACTCCACTCCCTCCACTTCTCTTGCCCCTCGTGTTGTGTGCTGCCTTCAGTGCGAAGCTCCTTGCTTGTATTAAGCCAGTCTTCCGTTGTGTTTGAAATGGGGAACTCTGGCTTCGTACCGGTTAACAAACCTGAATGTGATTTTCTACAGTTTTCTGTTTTTTTTAATCAGTTAATCCTTTTAATCTGTTGATAATCCCTGTCTACCTATGCCACCATAATTATGGAATTTAGTTTCAATGCTAATTTTAGGATTTCTAGCTTTATAGTTGCCAAATGGCAATAAAGCTCCTCTTAAATAACTAGCTTTTATCTGAAAACATAATGCTTTGACATTTATATGTATGCAAATGTAGGATTATCTGGAAGACTGACAGTTCTTAGGTAAATAGCTGAACAAAAATTGTATGTGTTGGAGAAACAGTTGATGTAACTGTGCTATATTGGAATAGCATTTTGTGTATACTGAATGTGGGAAACTTTTGAATACATGAACTCTATATGAATGAATGTTTCTACGGATACATTATTATCAAAAACACTGCTTCTATCACTGTAGAATAGGGGTAGGCAGATGGGAGATTAGATCTTTGGGTGATTTTTGGCTTGATCATATGGGAGATGGTGATCCTTCAGATGACAGTGGCCTCAAACTGTTTAGCTATTGCAAGTTTGAATACTCTACCATGTGAAGGAGTTGCATGTTAGGGGGAACATTGGATTAGGCTAGGCTTTGCCTGATGTGCTGGCTTTTCATTGCCAGAGTTGTCAGTCTGTTGGATTTCATACCCGACCTGCAGCAGAAGGTCCCAGGGCAGGTGGCAACAATATAGACATGCTAGATTAAAATCAATTGAAACAATTCAATTCTTGATGTGGGGGATTCATTTGTGGGATTAGCCCATCTTCCCATTGTACAAAGTTGTGCCTTTCCCCCTTAGATGTGCAGGTCAGGGTCTTAGTCCTGCTGGGTCTTTTAATTTTTGATACCAACCTTTGGAGACTGAGCCAGTTACAAATCTAAATATGAACTTTTTAACTGATAGGCTTCTGGAATAGAATATAACCAAACACATGGAAGTTAGCTAGGTCCACTGTCAGCTGCTGCTTTGTGAAGCCCTAAAAGTGTGAGAGAGACAAAGCTGGATTATTCCGTGTGGTCTGAATACTTGTACTACTTTAAACCTGACAGAACAAGAGAGGTTAAAAGGATAACGACCTGTTTAAAAACAAGAAAACCAATTGCAACTGACTAATATTTGCATTTTCTTATCTTCTTTAGGATCACAGAGATGAAATAACTTCTGTAACATTTAATTGGAATGATTGCTATATCGCTTCGGGGTCTATGAGTGGTGAAATTATTCTGCATAGTCTTACTACGAATTTATCCAGCACTCCATTTGGCTTTGGCAGCAGTCAGGTAAAGTGTCTGTGGAATGTGGTTCCAATGGTTCAGCTGCAGTGGGTCATACAAGTGATGGTTGGGTCTAACCATTTGCAATTAGATTTATACCCAATTGTCTCTCCACCAGATAATTGTTCTGTACCCCCAATAACTTCCATCCTTGGGCTGCAATCCTGTGCACACTTACCTGGTAGTAAGTCACGTTGAATACAGTGAAACTCCCCCCCCCCCCGAGTAACAATGCATAGAATTTGGCTGTTGGCATTTCAGGAAGCCCATGCTAAACTTGCGTATTGAACTTGAGCTGCCCAACCCCACCTCCCAACCTTCCACTTCTGTAGTATACTGTACAAGCAGTTCCTCTATCCCTGACGTAGAACCTTTGTCCATGCTACACAGTGGATTGCTGTGGAACTGGGTCTTTTCATGTGGCACAACCTCTTGATCATCTTCTGCACATCTGATTGAACTTATGTGTCATGGCAAAATGGGTTATCGGAGTCGGGATAGACTTGCAAGTCCTTGCAAGGAAATAGGACTTTAAGGGTGAAACCTTTACTCCTATTCTTGATTTTAAAAATAAGTAAATAAATTTACTTATATCCTGTTCTTTCCCATTGGTTCAGAACAGCTTATAGCAGTGTTAATATCTGAGATTTTAAAACTCAAGTAACTATTAATGTGAACATGGGCCTGGTTGCATTTCTCCTTGCTGTCTCCTTGAATAGTTTTATTGCTGGCACAGCTTGGTCATAGCCACATTTCAGTGCTGATGTTGCAAAGCTATAAAAAATTTTTTTTAATGAATGTGCTTGGGTTTTCTTATTAGAATTTCTAGCAGGTTGGACAAGTTAAGTGTCACACATACTGAGGGTTGCAAATGGTAGCATTGTATTCATTGGAAGCAAAAGCCAAGTTTTCAAAAGCTCTGTTTTTGATTCATTGTTATCATCCATCAGTTATATTGATGCAAACTTCTTCTTAATAGTCAGTTTGCTCTTTTTTAAAAAGCCACCTCGTTGCAGAGCTAATAAAGTTGTCATAGCTGTGCTTTATGTGTGGCTTATTTGGGAAACTCTCTCTGACAGTTATTGATGGACAACGTGCTGTGAGTTAAAGACCAAAGCAATGAAAGCAGGGTGGTGGTGGTGGAGGAGGAGGATCTGAGTTGCAGTGATAAGATGCTGAAAACCTTACAGCTGAGTTGCATTGACTGTTATTTCCTGCTATTTACTTTGCCATTTGTAGCTTTTCACTACATGCTGCTGAGGAAAGATTGGGTTGCTCTTTAAACCTTGAGGAATATTAATGTAAAATATAGGGAGCAATGTAATTTACAGTGAAGGTTTATGGTAGAATAGCAAAACAGGGTTTAAATATTGCCTATTACATAAACCATATAGCACTAATGAAAACAATGCAATCCTTTATTTGTATGGGATAATGTTAGAAGCATTAAAATATCTCATTTCTTTCTGACTACCACCTGTTTATACATTTCTTTTCCTGAGTGAGTTATTTTACTTAACTGTCATGCGAGACAAAAGAAAGAGAGAGGCAAATGGAAGCAGTGGGTTTGAAAAGCTAGAAAAGCCTTGGAAGAGACATAAAGTGGGTGGCTTAATTTTTTCCTGCAACCTGGGTGCTTTCCCCCTGCCCCTAATTCAAGAGAGAGGGCCTGTTCTAAATATTGTTTAAACAGACTTCTTAAACAGGCATTCTCTTTTTCTCACATCTATTTTGGAAGTTTAAATACCTGATAGTCATCACCTGGCTTGGCTGGTACATGTTTCTTTGTTAGTCTTTCATGGGGATGGAGAGAAGCTGCAGCAGATTCCTCAAAGATACATATTTTCCTATCTACAAAGACCACGTCAAAGGGGCTTGTGGGAGAGGAGTGAGGAAAGGCAAATAAAAGTTTTCTTATTATTGCCTATATGCCTGTGCCTTTTGCGTGTTGCATTGTTTTAAAATGTAAATTCAGAGCGTGCTAAAAGCCTAATACATTAAGGAACCCATAAGGATTGTTTTTGAAAGTAGATTGTCATGGATTTGAAATTAGGACAGTTATTTAAAGTCTTAACAGTAACAAAGAATGCACTCAACTTAAAGCCCATTATTCCATCAGTTTCAGGTCTAAAGTATCTTGTTGAATCACAGCTCCACTCTTGAAAACTCTTAATGGTTGAGACTTAAAAAGCTTGGCACTTTGTCAGGATTCAAGTTTCTATTGTTACTGCAAAAATGCCGAGCTTGGAAAAGTTGTTAAATTTTAATTGCATGTCACTCCAGTGAGGCCTAGATGGCAGACTTGCTGACTAAACATCTGAAATGGCTGTTCTTGTAATAAAGATGTATCAGTGCTGATGCTCACTTAAAGGGTTTCTAGGTGTTACTTTTTCTGTTTCTCACCACTAGATACCATGTCAAATTCAATCTCTTTTGTGGTGGGGAGCAGCACTGCATGAGCACTTCATAGAGATGAATCGAAATTGGGGGCTGATTTTTTCACAAATACTTTTGTGCTCACCCCATTTTAAAATATATTTTATGACTGCTCCTGCTGCAAAGACAGTCACGCGCTGTTTTGTTATAATGTGCTTAAACTGCCACTGTACCACAAAACGAGCAGCAGGGGTATGCTGTTTCCCCCCTCCAATTCCCTGCTCCCCCAATAGATTAGGCTTTATTGCCAGATTTCACCTATGGTAACTGGGTGTTAAGGATGGCAAAGACCTAAAAGCTGTGTAAGTAAGTGATGATACTGCTGCATTTGAAGGTAAGGCTAGTACTAGGATTCCAGTGGTACAGCCTCTTGCCAACTAATTAGCAAAGAGGTTTTTTAAAAAACGTACACAGGTACTGTAGTTTAAATATATGCATTGGCAAAGCATCACTTTTAACATATGCAAATGTGTTTTCTTTCTTTTTCAGCCCATTCGGCACTTGAAATATTCTCCCTTTAAGAAAGCATTATTGGGTAGTGTTTCCGACAGTGGGGCTGTAACTCTGTGGGATGTCAACAGTCAAGCCCCATATCATAACTTCGAAAGTGCTCATAAAGCTCCGGCCTATGAAATCTGTTTTTCTCCCATCAGTGAGCTGCTACTTGTAACTGTAGGTCTGGATAAAAGAATCATTCTCTATGACACCACAAGTAAAAAGTATGTATACCTTTGTCAGAATATTATCTGACGACAGAATTCTGTGTGCTTTTCAGTGGTATAAAAAGGAATTTATGGCATACTAAAAAAACGGGGGGGTTTGGAAACCCATTCCTTCAATATATTTTGTGAAGCACTGCTGATCAACAAACAAATAAAAATAAAGCCAGTCTACTGAGGCTTGATTTGGTCTCCTTTTAATTGATTGAGGCAACTGGAACATTTAGCATTTCTTCACAAAAATGGTTAGGTGTGGAACTTTTAACGTGCCATAAGGTTTGGTTTTGTGAAAGTAATATTTGGAGTGTGGTTCTTAATGGTGGAAAGCAATTTGTGTGTGGTTGTCTTAGTTACTGAATTGCTTGTATTAAAACTGATGGAGTCCTTCTGCTTGACTTGAAAGCTTTCTTATTTGGTACACACACGTTTCACGAGAGGTGTCTAAAATTGAGACATTTTGACATTTTAATGGTTGTAGTTTGCAAAAGTCTCTTTATTGCATCTGCAGAGCCAATATATGAGCCACAGGGAAAATGCCAAAACCCACTGTTGAGCAATACCTTTAGTAGGACCAACCAAAGTTTGCAAATAAGGGAGCAAGCTCTCAAGATCTCCAGAATTCTTCATTGGGCTGGATGTACTCATTGCGGGTATTCCTTCTGCCTTCCTTGGCCTGGGCATCCAAAGCAGAGGGAGCCCTGAGTCCTCCAAAGAACAAGAGGACACTTGAAAGGGGGATAGTCCCACAGGGAGCTGTTTGACACTGGCAGTTTCCATCCTACCTACACACTTGAATTCTTGTCACGTTTGAGGAGAGGGGATATCCATTAGCAGCTGGGAATGTGTGTATCTGCTTGAAGAATGTAGCTTTATGTATTGTATTAACTTAAACATAACATTGGGAAATAAGCAGAACTAAAATTACAGTGTGGTATAATAGATAGTGTTGGCTTTGGGTTTAAGTCTTAGCTTGGCAGTGAAGCCCACTGAGTAATATTGGGCCAGACACTACCTTTTAGTCTAACCTGGCCAACAGCTAAGTGAAGAGTTAATGAAAAATAACTATTATTTTGGAAACTGTAAGTAAAATTGTGGCTGTCCTTTCTCCCCCCCCCCCCCTTCTCGGGTGTTCAACATGTTTCTTCATCACAAAAAAGGCAGCTGAAGACTTTAGTAGCAGAATCTCCTTTAACTGCAGTAGAATTCATGCCTGAAGGAACTTCTTTGGTGGTTGGATCTTCTCGTGGAAAGATATACCATTATGACCTAAGAAAACTGTCCGCACCTGTGAAATCAGTCAGTGCTCACAAAACCTCTGTGAAATGCATAACACTACAGTGCTCTAACAGCTTTTCAAGGGTAAATGTCTTGTGCATTTAGTGTATAAGTGTAGGTTAAAACGGAAATAAAATGTGCCTAATTATGATCAATATATGCCAAAGCACACAAGATGGCATGTTTGTGCTAAGGTCTGTATCACTTTTCTATTGTAATTGTAGTTAGAATTGTATACACCTGATCCTTTTTTCAAAGCTTGATGGTTGTGTGTAGTTAACACACATCTATTTGAGTGCTCTGTCCCCCCACCCTTCCAATACAGTGGACCCTTCAGATATGAACTTAATTTGTTACGGGGGTCCATTCGCAACCTGAAAAGTCCGTATCCAGAGGGGCTGCTTCTGTGCATGCGCTCATGGTGAAACCCGGACATATACACTTCCGGGTTTGCAGCATTCGCAACCCAAAGTTTACGTATTCGTAGGGATACGTAAGTAGAGGTACGACTGTATTATAAATTGTGTCTGCTATTTTGGGGATTAGAGTCCTATCGGAAGCAGCATTAGAAGAAAGTTGTAACTCAGTACTTGACTGTCCTTTTCCCCTTCAGAGTAGAGCACTTCTGACTAACTTATTTCTGTTTCAGTCTAGCTTTAAGTCATCCTTAACTAAGCAGGCCTGCAAAAGATCTGATGTCAAAACAACAAGCAATACTGGAGGGATTCAGAATGCTGGCATGATCAAAAACGTTACTCCTAACATGCCTGCCACGTTCCTGTCCCCATCCTTGCCAACAGCTGAAGTTAAAGGAGCTGATGCCATTCAGGATAAATCTGGTAAAAAGATGCCAGCACTTGTGAGAATCATGAAGGAGGGAAATACGAAAATACCAATTGTTGCCATTTTAAGAATTGCTTAATTGGTCCTTTATTTTATTTCTTTACTTATAGTATTTATTGGGTGGTATACGTTTTTAAAAAACCAAATTCTTAAAATATAAAAATGCAATATAGAGAAAATTAAAACCAAGTTATAATAATATTGGAATAAACCCAGCAACAGAGAAAACAGGAGCACCCAAAGTCTAAAGCTGAGCTCCCCAGTGTGGTATATGTGGGTGCATTCAGCCACCCTGTTTGGTGCCTGCAAAGGCCTCCTGCTCCTCCAAATGTTTTTTTTAATTTTTTTTTTGGGGGGGAAGGGTTGTTTAGATCATGGCACCTGCTCTTTTGGTCTGTTTTGTTGGTTTTGGGGTTGGAGTGGGGAGATTTTAAACACTGCCAGTTTTTCTTCTGTGAAAAGGGCATTTTGAAGTATCCACAATAGTGTTCTAGATCTCTAAAAAGTGCCCCCAGGCCCAAAATGTTGCAGACCAAAGTACTGAGAAAATAAGGTCTTCACCTGGTGCCAAAAAGAAGCTCAACACTGTGACCTGAGGTCCAGCGCCGAGGGCCTCCTGGCGATTCCCTCACTGCGAGAAGTGAAGTTACAGGGAACTAGGCAGAGGGCCTTGTCGGTAGTGGCACCTGCCCTATGGAGTGCCCTCCCATCAGATGTCAAGGAAATAAACAACTGTCTGGCTTTTAGAAGACATCTGAAGGCAGCCCTATTTATGGAAGTTTTTAATGTTTGAAGTTTTATTCTGTGTTTAATGTTCTGTTGGTAGCCGCCCAGAGTGGCTGGGGAAACTCAGCCAGATGGGCGGGGTATAAATAATACAATTATTATTATTATTATTATTATTAATTATTATTATTATTATTATTATTATTATTACCACCACCTCTGTAGATGATATTCCGCAACTGGGGTGCCAGTCATACTATTACTCTCCTTTATTTAAGATACTTACAGTAGCCACCCACTTCCTCTCATTTGGTGGGGTGCATTCAGAGAAGGGTCTCTTAGGGTCCAAGCAGGCATATATGGTTGGAGAAGATCATCTAAGCAACCTGGCTCCATTCCCATACCCAGGTATTGGCTCAGCACACCCACTGCCTCACCTGGATTAGTTGAAAAGGAGAGAAAAAACTGCATGTTGTACACCTGTTGGTGATGCCTCAGTCCTCACCTCTGGATTATCTATTTGAGTCATTTACTGTAGATGTTAAATAGCATGGGGATAAAAATATCCCTGTGGAGCCCATAGCATAATTGGCAATGGGTACAGCAATATCCTGCCCCCTCTAGCACCACTTTTTGGAATCAGCTATCCAGGTATCAGTAGAACCACTGTGAGACAGTATTTCCAACACTGAACCAGACAGCTTATTCAGAAGGACACCATGGTTGATAATACTGAAAGCCACTGAGGGGTCCAAGAGGACCAGGGTTATACTCTTCCTATCCTTCTCTTGGCAGAGTTCATCCCAAAGGGCACCCAGAATACAGACTTGGAAAGCTCAAGCCATGTGTTCATTCATCGTTGCTAGCGATTGACTTAATGTTTTTTCCAGACCACTGCACAAGTGACTGAAATAAAGATGAAGAACGTGATTCTAGATCTTAACTATTTTATAAAAACATTAAAAAATATCTGTATGTTGTGATCCTTTTCGGTACATATAAAACATTCAATTAAGTGTGATGCTTTCTCACTAAGCTCAAACTGACAGCTTAATCTGTCTTGATGAATGGAGTTCATACCTGTTCACCTCCTTGTGGAAATGTGAGTGGGAGTTCTGTCAAGCACTTTGGGTGCCAAATTGAAGTAAAGCTATCTTTATTGCTAGGTAATGCTAGCATTAAAGCTTAAGGTGGAATCCTCTTATCGCAGTTTTGGAGGATAGGGTGCTGCTGAGTAATTTTATTGTCCACACAGTTAATGTGATAAGACAACAGGTTTTGTTGTACCTTAGTGTGTTTGCTAGACCTGTTGTCAGAGGCTTATTGATAATGGCAGTAGCTTTTACTTCTTTCCAAATCCTTGACATCTTCCCTCAGAACCAAATTCTATTGGTTCCTATGGGACTTGTTTCCAGTTTATTTATTGGCAGCCTTCTACCTTTTTAAAGCTTCTTTTAGGGTGCTTAAATACCCAGGCTGAACTATATTGAACTTGTCTTGTTCTTCCTGTAGGACTCTTCTACGCATAAACATTTATGTTGCTTATGGAACTAGAAAGTGCTGGTGTCTAATAGATTTTGTGAAGTAAGCTTAATTTGTCATTTAAAATGACTCTCTTATTCAGGAAAATGGATGTGTTCCTCTTCTAGGATTCCCACGCAGCTGCAGTTTGGATGTAATTCCTTCCAAAGAAATTGATCATGGGAATACTTCTAATCCAGCTGATGATTTGGGGAGAAATAGTTTAGGTGACTTGTTCTCTCCACTTCGAGATGGTAAGTTGACATTGGAAAAAGATTGTATAGATACATGTGCTGGAAAGGACTCCATCCTATTACATCCTGTAGTTAAGACCCTTAATTGTCATGCCCATCCTATATGGAGCATATGCTATTAAAATAAAATAAAATATTATAGCCAAATTAATAAGGTGCCTTTTTAGATAGTGGTCAGTGATAATCCCCAAACCATGCCTATTGTATTAAAGAAATTAAGCAGTAATTGTTTACTGTTTGAACAAAAGATCAGGTAGAGCTGTTACTCAGATTCTACCTGTATAGAATTTTTCTCCCTTTTTACAGTCAGTATTTATTGCTTTGTCCTATAGATGTTGCAGTTTGTAAAACAAGTGAAGATGTTCCCGGAAAGAGTGATGGTAAGCACTTACTGTAGTACATCTTTAGTATCTCTTGAGGGCCCAGCCTGACACTAAATTGGTTTAATGCTACAGGAAATCAGAATAAGTAGCAATAAATGAAGGTAAGTAAAAACAAACTGGGGCGTGGGGTGTAATATTTGCTACACTGTGCATGCTAAACCTGTGTTCAGGAAACATTCTTGGTTCAAACAGTACAAATATATAATCCTTTAAAATATAAAGTTGTATGGAAATGAAGTGACTAAAATAATAAAAAATACACAAGTATGTGACTTTGCCTTTCATTCTAGGTATGGATTTTCAACCTTACCTTTCCAGTCTGGATTTTCTTTCCCAGTTCAGCACTGCATTGCCTGTAAGAAAAAATCCAGTAGGATCTGGCCCACAAGTAGTGCATTCTAGTCCACTTAATATATTTGTTGGCTCTCCTATCAAAGAGGATGATGAGAATCCAGATGTTGATGCTAAGAAAACTAATCATGGAAGACAAGAGTCCAGAGAACATTTCAAACAGGTAATGCTGTAATTCTAATTGCCTGTGACTTGAGCTGTCCGCCTTGCATTTTTGTTTGCTGTTTCTGCTTTTTGCTGCATAGAAACATGCACATGTTGGATAGTAGTGCCTTCTAGGCATGGGCTGTTTGCTTCCTAACCATAGTTATGAGATTAGGAGCACCATAATGCATGCAAATCCTCCCACCCCTTTCAGTTTTGGGGTGTTGGGAGAGGGATAGTGCTTCCCTCTGCACTCACCTCTCACCTGTGACTCCTAGAAGCTGCAGCTTGGGGTGGATTGAGATAATAAGCTTTCTCCCATCTTTAAACAGCTTTTGTTGTTGCTAGATAGTGCTGATTTTGATTGTCCCAAAGGGCCCAGCACATGACTGAGTGTACTACTTATCAGGCAAGAAATGTTTATATTTGTGGGGCTGTGTTGGCTTTCACATTTATTTCCCCCCTTCTCTACAAAGTTGAGTTCCTCCAGCTCTGAGTTTACAAATATGAATACCTCCCCGTTGGCCAACATAATCAGGAGTCCTGATCCCCGAGAGAGACTTATTAAGAACCTTCAGGCACAACTGACCTATGAATCGCCAGTGAACGGTCCTACCTCAGCAAGTAGGTCTAAATCTCACCTTTCTGTTATGGAACATAATCAACTGGTTAATGACTTGGCATCCTAGGTGAATGTAATGGGAGTACAACAGTCTCTAAATATTTTTTTAATATATAAAATTTATGATGTACTACTGAATAAAAATGTAGCATAATCTAATGTTTCTGTCTTTGTGCGCATGGTGTACTCTGGCAATTAGTTTGTGTAATTTTCCCGGGAATGGTCTTCAATCACTCCAGCACTTCAATCACATTTCCAGTCATGCGCCTGCTTTTAAATTCTTAAATCCCAGCACTTATGAACAGTCAATAACTTACGTTTCCATTTCATAAATATAGGTGGTGATTAGAAATAATGTGACTTGTGTGCTGTGGTGCGCCCGTCTTGCCTGTTTATATAGCAGTTGTCTGTATCTTTTTGGGTCCCTTTTCTTGCCCCAAGTTAAAATGAAATGCTCATACTTTACTTTGCATAGCTTCAAAGATAACTTCTTCGGTTACTGCTGGAGTTGCCAATTCGCTATCGGAAAAAATAGCAGACACTCTTGGAAGCAGCAGATTGAATGCACCTTTATCATCCGTTCAAATTCATTTCATTCAGAATATGATACAAGAAACTCTGGATAACTTCAGGTAAGTTGAGTTGTATCGACACTTTGACTGTAGTTATCAGTTTATAAAGCCTGAGCAAACTAATAACTTTAGCGGAGCCCGACAACGAGATGTTGCAGTGTATCTCTGGAGTGTGTGGGTTACTTGTGGCTGAGGGTATGTGTGTGAAGAAACAGAAGATACATCAAAGGCACTAATCTCAGCTCTAGCTTGGGTCTGTCTTAAGGAACATCATCTTTATTTATGAATATTTAAAAGTGTGTCCAGTTCCCATGCAAGTCAATAGAGCATGAGCTTCATGCAGTCAAGTACTAGATTTGGCCAGGGATGAGGTTTGAGAGGATAAGGTGACCTTTGCTGCAACCTGAGAGGTATGGGAGAATTTTGGCAGACTCTGAACCAGCCTCTCCCTTCCTCTGACCTGCAGTATTAACTCTGGGCTGCATTGCAAGCCTGCCTCAAGTACCGTATTTTTCGCCCCATAGGACGCACTGCCCTATAGGACGCACCTAGTTTTTTGGGGGGGAAATAAAGAAAAAAAAAATTATTTCCCACCCAGGCACGGGGCTGGCGTGGGGGAAGCCCGAGCTTCCCCCGACCCCAGCCCCCAGAACAGCCTGCTATCCGCAAGCCTAGGGAGCCGCGCCGGTCTCCCCAGGCTTGTGGAGAGCTGCGCGAAGCCCGGGCACGCTCTTCAGCGTGCTCGAGGCTTCGGAATGCAGGCAGCTCTGCGCAACCCTCCGGAGCCCGGCGCGGCTTGTATTCGCCCCATAGGATGCACATTTCCCCTTCATTTTTGGAGGGGAAAAAGTGCGTCCTATAGGGCGAAAAATACGGTATGCTGTTTTGACAACAACCCTGTGGTGAATATGAATGCTCCAAATTACTGGCTTCGTTCTTCATAGTCTGTGGGTGGCATGGGCCTCTGCAACTCGGACTTAAAAAAGAAAAGGTTAGCAGGGTGCTATAAAATTGGCTGGCATTTCAGCATCGCATCAGAAATAGATCAAATTAATATATCTACCAAATATACACTTCAGCATTCTTTCTGCCCCAGGAGAGCTAATTGTCTTTGAGTGGTTTTAAGAAAGCAGTGGGGCTAGCTCTGGATTTGTGTCTTAAGTGCTTCTCTTATCATTGTGACTTTCTATGACATCACTTTTTTTAGCCTTGTTACTTGTTTATGAGCAAAAAACCCACCACATTTCAGTGTGCTGTTGTAGTACAACTCAATCAGGACGTAATCAAACTTTTGTATGAATTAATTCAAGAAGTTGGTAAGTTAATTCACAAAGCCCCTGGAGTGTGCTGCTCTTGCACATTTTAAACAGCCAGAAAATGGCTTAGATTCTCTTCATATTGAGTAAATACAATCTGCCACAGAGCAACAGTTTACAGGTGCATCTGTAGGCACATATCATGAAGCTTTTATTGTAAATGAAGAATGTTTGCTGGAATCTGTTCCAATGTGCATCTGGAGCAATTACATTTTCCCAATTTATAATAAAATAAATTTTATGGCAAAAAACATTCAGTGTGTTTCATTTCCTGGAATCTGAAATAGTACATTTTCAGTATTGGTTGACTAATACTACTTGGGTTGTCATCAGACTTCTCCTTTTCTGTTCTTATTCCTAGCCTTGTTTAGCTTTTGCTTATAGCAGAGCATTCTGCTTGCACCTGGTGTTGTGAAACTGGCCATTGCCTCTTGGCTAGAAGGAGTGACTTGTAAAAAAAAGCAGAGGGAGGAGGGGGTTCTAGTACTTTGTCCTTCACTTCCAAAGTTTGTCTCTATTCCATTTACCATAGTCTATAGCAAACAGAGTCTATGGCATTACTGAGTGGTAACCCAAACCCCTGATCTGTTATGCTGGAAGGCATTTAAGTTGATGGTGCCTCTACCCAACCATGGACGTTCCATGTGCTCCCTTGTAAATTGTGGGTGGATGGAAGTTACTAGTGGCAGCTGGTGCAAATCTCTGAAATGGGGTGTTTCAAGGCAGGATTGGGGTGGAGCTGAGCTACTCAAGAATCTACTGGCTATCAAGCCAGTCTAGCTACTGGCAAGCTGTGGCACTGAGTCCAATATGGGCCTCTCTGCTGCACCAGACCATAGCTGGTGCATCAAAAATAATAAAATATCAGATATTTCAATTGTGCCCTTAACCTTAGATGATTAGATGACCCTTGGGGTCACTTTGAACTCTATAATTCTGTGATCCTATGACTCATTAAGAATCCAGAACAGTGGCACCTCGGGTTACAGACACTTCAAGTTACAGACTCCGCTAACCCGAAAGTAGTACCTCGGGTTAAGAACTTTACTTCAGGATGAGAACAGAAATGGCGCAGCGGCAGTGGCAGGCCCCATTAGCTAAAGTGGTGCTTCAGGTTAAGAACAGTTTCATGTTAAGAACGGACCTGCAGAACAAATTAAGTTCTTAACCCGAGGTACCACTGTACTAGAAATTAATTGCTACGAAGGAGCTATGCTTTCCCTAATGTCAAATTAGTTATTGTGGGCTCCGATAAAGATACGCATTATTGTTGAATTTAGGGTGGGGTAGGATAAGATGTTTAGTCTTGTCCTGAAAATCACCTTTAATTTAAGAACCAAAGAGAAATGGGTAAACTTGCGAACAGGAATTGAAGGTGCATGGTATTTGTTCCTTCAGGGAAGCCTGCCATCGTGACATTGTGAATTTGCAAGTGGAGATGATCAAACAATTTCATGTGCAGCTGGTATGTATAAAATATATACAGAAATGTGCAGATGTTTTAAAAGCATTTCAGCTGAAAACCCTACTCTGGATTGCTTGTTCATCTTAAGATCCTAGACAGAGCAGTGAGATTATTGCGAACCTCAGTTTGCTAGGTTTGGAATACTATAATTTTTGCTAAGTGACACTGCAAACTAACTTGCAATCTGTTGTTTCTTAAAAGCTGGGCACAGAATAGTACTGTCTGATGAGTGTAATATCACATACTTGGGGTGGAAGGGAAACTAGATTGCTTTGCTGAGAAAGTAGTGCTTGAGACAGACTTCCTACATTCTTGGTGATTGACTTCAAATTTTCAAAGGGGATGGATGGGTGGATATCTTTCTGTGGAAAAATTACAGTGGCCGAGTTTGCATGTCACAATAAGCCATAGTGTGAAAAACTATTGTTTACCATGTACACTGCTCAGTTGCACCCACGCTTTGCCAATGTGAGACACAAACCAGAGAATGTTTCTTCTTGTAGTTTGGAGAGAGAGAACCAATGAGCACTTGTTCACATGTAATGCTAAGCCAGCCACTCTGTGTGGTTTTGCAAAGGGGTGGGGAAGGAGGAACAAGGTGGGTGCAGTTGAGTAGCATATATGAGCATACTGCTCAATCACAGTAAACCAGAGTTTATTTCAGCCTGTGGCTTGCTATGGCATGTGAACTGGGGCCAATATCTTCTGACCACCTTGATTCCAACATTAGTATTCTATATAAAAATGCATAGTCGGGTTTGAAAATCTTTTTCTCCAGTAATGCAATGTTCTGTTCTTTTCCCCTCTAGAATGAAATGCATGCCTTACTTGAAAGATATTCTGTAAACGACGGCTTAGTAGCTGAAATTGAGAGATTACGTGAGGAAAATAAAAGATTGCAAGCCCACTTCTAAAAAGTCCGTGTTCATGCAAGGAAAATGAGTTGAATTTTTTTTAATTGTGCTATGGCACACTGATGTCATATGTCTGACACTTAAGTAGTATGTGTAAACTCAGTGTTTTTTCCAGCACTAAAGAACCTTATTTTAAAATAGAAAAGGCAATAGTTAACTGATTAATACAAAAATATGCACTAATAATGTTTATATCAAAGGGTTTTTATGGAAAACTTGAAATACATTGGTTATAAAGAGAGGCTTAACAAGAGTATTAATCAATTTTAGCTATAAACAAAGTGCCTTTTTATAAAGGGAAACTAAATAGGAAATGTATTTTGTATAAGAATTGCTTTGTTCTGATAAATTTATTATGCATTTCAGTTATTTTTTTTGCAATGAAGACTTCTATGACAATGTCTTGGTTTTGTTTCCTTTGGCTAGAAAAAACATAAATGTTTCACATGCAGTTTTTATTGTATATGCTCTTTTGCTACTGACTTTTTCCTATAAATGTTACTTTGTAGGTGTAGAATGCAATCTTAGATTTTTGTTACAACTGAGTTGCATATTTACATAATTTAATGGCGTACTGATAATTTGTTCCGACTGAATAAACAATTTGTGAAGTTGCATAAACATGCTTGACTAATCCCAGTCCTCTGTTTCTGACTTTCAGCTTGGTCCTCAAGCTCTCTTTTTAGCACAGGTCCAGCGCAGTCCTAAGAGTCATAAGAACATCTGTGTTTTTACCCAGTCTGCAGTTGTGGTTGGAAAAGATATATTTACCATTGTATGACTAGTCAAGAGCAGAAAATCAAACTCATATTCCTATTTGACTCTTGTCTTAAATGTAATGGCTTGATTACAGGTTTAAACTCTCTTGGCATACTTTTATCTGGCTTCATATTACCATTTTTGCATTGTAAATTGAGTGCTTACTTTGTGGTTCACATGCAGCCTGTTCAGACAGTAGGCAAACTAATTTTTAAAATGAAAAGTTGTTGCCCTGTTCCCTGCCAACAGTCTTTGCAGCTAAGACTGCAGTCATGCCAGCCTTCATCGAAGTAAGTCCCATTGAGCTTAATGAGACTGACTTTTAGGTAGGCATGTCTGTAGAATTGCACTGTAAGATTATCATGAACATCTCAAGTTGACTACAAAACTTGGCTTGTCTTCAGAGAATTATCATTAAGGAACAGCCTTAAGCATTTCATCCCAGTTTTTGCCTTGGGAAGGGCTTTAGATTGGGTGGAGGGAATGACCAACCCTTGCAGCCTGGCTTTCTTATCATTGCTGTTCTCTGACGCCATAATTTCTTAGAAGCCCAAAATCTATATTAACAACATCAATAGTGTAATTGTTATTCCCATAGTTGCCTTGGGAGGATCTACCCTTAAAGGTAAACAAGTCTACTTGGTAATTTGATGTCCACTAGGACTTACTTCATCCCATTTTTTAGGATTTCAGGAAGTATGTTGAGGAGCATCGCTTCTGCTCTGCTCTTTTTATTTATAAATACTGTGTTGTGAAGGACATTATGAAGCTTGACAACATCCAATAACTTCTGCTGACCATCAGGGTCACTCAGTTGTTTGTGAAAGTGGAAGGTGCACTAAATGAAGCTAGTGATGTGTTTCTTGTATGTGTACAGCTAACTGACCCAAGATCTCTCTGCCCACGTTTGGGAGATTCCCCTCTCCCATAGCATCCCAATATGATGCAGGCCCTATAGTTCAGGAGGCCTCCCAGTCCCTAAAAAGCATTTTTCCAGGGGTGCAGAGAGGAGCAAAAGAGAAAAGGTGCCTTCCACTTGTGCTACCGCAAGCTTACTTTTTAAGGTGCCATGCTTTTGTTTTCATGGTAGCAGACTTGACCCTGAGTACTTCCCTGGAATTTTGGAGAAAAGAAACTTTTTGACCCCAGTGTTGGCTGTTCCTTATATTTAGAGGTAACCTTTGACTGTGCAGACTTCCCTTGTTTTCCTACTACGTCATGAAACTATGCAGCAATCATCCAGACCTCAGGGGAGTAATACAGGATTGATGTTCCTAAAACTGAAATTGCCGATGACTATATGCAATCATACCTATGGGAATTACTGTTGAAAGTAAAGCATTTAAGTGCATGATTCAGCTGCGGCTTTGTACAGAAAGAATGCATACTGTTTTGGCAGAGATATAAAACTTTGAGATAGCACACGTCAAAATAGTACTTGCCTTCATTTGCCCTCATTTTAGTATGTAAAGTATTTTAAAGTTTGATGCAAGAGAATTTGTAAGATAAACTACTTTGCTTTTGCATGCTGCATAGATCAAAATCAATGGGACATTAAAATGCTAATATGTAGACATAAAATCGGGAAATACCTTTATAGGGGGAGAAACATTGAGTACTTTTAGTTTTAAAACTTTCACAGCAGCACATTAAATGCTTTTGTTTTGGTTTTATGTGTTACACCTTTGACTTTAGGTGCAATAACATCGAGAATTTAAAATTAAAGCATATATTTCTGTGTTCAATTACATGCCTCACCTTTGGCTTGTTATAATTTTCTTTTTCTCTATAATTGGGGCATGGAGGTGCTTTTTTGTTCTCATAAACTCTTATGGAAAACTTGGGCTTCATCAGTGGATTTCTTCTTGCATCTCTCATACAATGCTGATACGCTTCTAGGTTAACCGCTCAGAAGGCAGGCAGAAAGCTTGTTTGCTGCAGAATATGAGATCTACTCCATTCAAAAGTGAGTGAAAGTTTACGTTTAGAAGCTATTCAGTTTCAAAACAGAATAGCAGTATTCAGTAATTAACATTTTTAGTGTGTTTTGCTGTGATGGCTAATCACACACATGGAAGATCTGGACCCCACATGAAAGCCAGCCTAAAACAAATGATTAAAATATGTCGCAGTGAACAGGGCTGCACATTGTTCATACTTGGGTGTATTGACTTCTGTGTGTTTATGAGAAAAGATGAGTAGAAGACATAATGAGGGGTTAATTCACTTAGTCTGCAGTCCTTAGGTGTGTGTAAGGAAAAAGCTGGAGCCAGCAGGATGGAAGTGAAGGCAAAGGAACACACTTGCACTCCGCCCTTTACTTCATTCATTCATTTCTTTAAAATTCATCCTGTTTCAGAAACATGTCTCATCACCCCCCCCCCCAAACGTTAAGGATGTTCCTGGGGACTGTCCTTGGTTTGCATCGAAACCAGATTGCAACATGACCCTTTTTGGGCTTTACCAACAGAACTGGGCAGTGTCACTGCTGGGCAGTGACAACAGAAGAGGTGGCAGAGTGGCAGATCTCCCTCTGAAATCAGAGCCTCTGGACCCTGAGCTACCCTCCCAAGGACCATAGGATTAAATCCTTAACCAACTACACACTGTGCTGGCTTTTAAAATGTCATATCAGTTTCTTTTTCAATGTATAATCTACTCTGTTCAGTTTTGGGCCCGATAACATAAAATGCGCTGGCATCTGCCATCAAAATATAACAATTGGCACTAGTCAGGATTTTTTTAATGATATGTTATAAGTACTCAAAAGTTGTCATATTCAACTTTATCTTTAGAGGAAAATTAGTTTCTATTCCCATGTTTCCTTTTGATAGAAAAGCCATCACGAGACTTTTATCTTGTCAATTCCAGGAGGTGAGAGCTTGAGAGGAAGGGGGTGCATTAATAATAATAATAATAATAATAATAATAATAATAATTTATTTGTACCCCGCCCATCTGGCTGGGTTTCCCCAGCCACTCTGGGCGGCTTCCATAGAAACCAAAAATACAGTAAAATATCACAAATTAAAAACTTCCCTGAACAGGGCTGCCTTAAGATGTCTTCTAAATGTCAGGTAGTTATTTATCGCTTCGACATCTGATGGGAGGGCGTTCCACAGGACGGGCGCCACTACCGAGAAGGCCCTCTGCCTGATTCCCTGTAGCTTTGCTTCTCGCAATGAGGGAACCGCCAGAAGGCCCTCGGCGCTGGACCTCAGCGTCCGGGCAGAACGATGGGGGTGGAGACGCTCCTTCAGGTATACTGGGCTGAGGCCGTTTAGGGCTTTAAAGGTCAACACCAGCACTTTGAATTGTGCTCGGAAACGTACTGGGAGCCAATGTAGGTCTTTCAAGACCGGTGTTATGTGGTCTCGGCGGCCGCCCCCAGTCACCAGTCTAGCTGCCGCATTCTGGGTTAGTTGTAGTTTCCGAGTCACCTTCAAAGGTAGCCCCACGTAGAGCGCATTGCAGTAGTCCAAGCGGGAGATAACTAGAGCATGCACCACTCTGGCGAGACAGTCCGTGGGCAGGTAGGGTCTCAGCCTGCGTACCAGGTGGAGTTGGTAGACAGCTGCCCTGGATACAGAATTGACCTGCGCCTCCATGGAGGCACAGTTACCCTATTCAGGACCAGGGAGTCCTCCACACCAGCCCGCCCCCTGTCCCCCAAAAACAATACTTCTGTCTTGTCAGGATTCAACTTCAATCCATTAGCCGCCATCCATCCTCCAACCGCCTCCAGGCACTCACTCAGGACCTTCACCGCCTTCACTGGTTCTGATTTGAAAGAGAGGTAGAGCTGGGTATCATCTGCATATTGATGGACACCCAGTCCAAATTAATGTAGTGACAACTCTTCTTAAACACATTAGGAGGAACAGGCTCCACAACACATACCATACAGGAATTATGCTGTACTTTGGGCCTTTAAACTGAATCATTTTCAGGAAACTCTCAGACTACCTAGTCCCCTCTTTAAACAATTCTATTTTATTCGAACAGAAGAAGATGGATGAAACAATATACGAATCAAAAATAAAGGGGATGTTCATATCTAATTTGTACCTTTCATATGAAAAAGAGGAAATCTGCATCTTGTATAATGATTAAGTTGTCTAGAGTTCTGTAACCTTATGTTCCTTATTGACCAAAATGCCAAATCCCATGCAGTCCATTGACAAATTTTGAGCAAATTGTGATTATGGTAGGGGTAGTGAGGATATGGGAGTTTTCTCTGTGTTCTAAAAAAATATTACTGGAGATACAGACTGGTCCACTATTAGGATCGAAAAGCACCTGGGAGGAAGATCTGCATATTGTGATGGAGGAGAAGGACTGGAATAAATTGGCTAAATAAGCCAGGTAAGTTGATCTCTGTGAGTATGAGGGAAACTTGCCTTACTGCTATTCAGTGATGGTGCACAACACTGATACAATTGTTTCCTTCATGTGAAAAGCCTTTAAAAAGCAGGGAGGGAGGAGGTTTGGGGTTGGCAGCCAGATTTCTCGATCCCTAGGCTAAAGTGTAATAGGGAATACAGATTCTAAGTTTCGAGTTTTAAACCCACTTTTAAACTCTAACCTGTGCCTATTGTATTACTATTACCCTCTTGTGGCACAATGGGTCAGTGCATGTGGCTGACCCATTGCTGGTGGTTCAGGCCCACCCAGGAACCACGGTGGGCAGGATTCCTGCATTACAGGGGGTTGGACTAGATGACCCTTGGTGATCCCTTCCAACTCTACAATTCTATGATTCTTTGTGGAAAGACTTCCTACCCCCAGTTGTACACATGCCACAGATATGCTGAGCCTCCTTATAAGTGCATTATGTTTCGGTGTTTTTTAACGCTGGGTTCTCCACCAGCTTCTATATCGACTCCCTGTTGCTTGCCTTGCCCTTTTATTTAGCTTCATTTCTTACTCGGGGTGAACCCAAGGGATATCTATATCAAGCAAATCCATTGTTTCCATAGTAACATGTCTTTCAGGAAGGGGGGGAGCCATCTTTTTCTTTTAATTAACAAAATAGGCAGCAGAAACAAGGAATGGTGATGGATGCTGTATAAAATTAGAAAAAGCATTTGGCATCCACCAGGAATTCTTTCTGCTGCTCAGGAGTGATGCATATCCCTGAACTAACAGCAAAGTCTTCCCAGCTTCCATGCCTCCCTTTTGGGGCTTTCTGTTTATTTTAACAGGACCAAAACCATACAGTCTGTCTTTCTGAAGTACGTTTAGTTGCCATAGAAACAATGATGTAAGTGGCAGGGATATCTCTAACCTCCGCTTTGAAAGTGAAGCATGTAGTTGCTTAATATAGAATGGTTTGAAAGCCAGGCTCAGGCTTGGGGGGTGGGGGTGGGGGAGTAAGGGAATTTGATTATAATATCTGCTCTTGCAAGAGACCAAATGATATGCCCAGTGTTGCTGCTCCCCCCTTCCCCACCGCCCTTTAGGACTTTTATTCTGTACCAAGTTGACAGGCGCTTATCTGGACGTGGTTGAAAGGTCACTTATTTCTAGTGGGGCACCTGTCCGTGAAAGCAACAAACACAAAAAACACCTGCATTTTAAATCGCTGCTCCTGAAACGTCGTCTTGTTTCAGTAGTACTGCTTCTGTGGCAGAATAGCTAAAAGCCATGAAACTTCATGGTTATGAAAGAAATATGTGGAAAAGAATGATGGTATTCTCTTCTCCTTTTTGCAGTACACATTTGGCTTTAAATCTTCACACTGGCATTGTACTTCATAACAGCCAAGATACAGTTTCTGCTTAGCATGCCACCATCAGTAGCTGAAAAGGCTTCTGTTGGAGTGCCACTGCCAGTTGGAGTAAGCCATACTGGGAAAAAGAGAGAGTCTGAACCATTAGAAGCTTCCTGTATTAATGGAAGATTCGATGGTTCCATGTCTCGGAAGAGAAGGAAACCTATTCCCATTAGTGGTTTACTACCAATGTACATGGGACGCGGGTGGTGCTGTGGGTTAAACCACAGAGCCTAGGACTTGCCGATCAGGTGGTTGGCGGTTCGAATCCCTGCAACAGGATGAGCTCCTGTTGCTCGGTCCCTGCTCCTGCCAACCTAGCAGCTCAAAAGCACTTCAAAGTGCAAGTAGATAAATAGGTACCGCTCTGGCGGGAAGGTAAACGACATTTCCGTGCGCTGCTCTGGTTCGCCAGAAGCGGCTTAGTCATGCTGGCCACATGACCCGGAAGCTGTACGCCAGCTCCCTCGGCCAATAAAGCGAGATGAGCACTGCAACCCCAGAGTCGGCCACGACTGGACCTAACGGTCAGGGGTCCCTTTACCTTTACCTTACCAATGTACATAGACATTGTTCAGATTTAAAACAGCAATGTGCATTTCAGAATACAGAAACCAGCTGGTTTGCAAATAGGGATGGATGAATTTGTAGGTGGTAGGTGGGTTCAGCTTGACTCCCTTCATACTTTCAAAGCAGTGCCCCACAGCAGGCAATTGACAACCCTAGGTACAGATCAACACATGAACTGAAAGTAAGGAACCCCCCCCCCATTTAAATGAAAAAGCTCATTGCACATTGATATGCACACAGCCCTTTCTCATTCTTGCCAAATGTGTGGGGCTGTAAAGCCAGTGGGTATGGCAGGAAGGGGCTGATGGGCTCTTCCCCGCCTTCCTTTCAGCACGTGAGGGGTATTAGTTTGAGCCCTTGATACAAATGCAAAATGGCCAGTCCGTTTAAAGGATGTAGAGAAGGAGCAAGGTGCCAAAAGACACACAGAACAGAGAGACTGGATAAGATTTCCCCATTTCAACTCATTACTCTCTGAAACAACAGATTTGCACAGAATACAAATG